TGATGATTGGCTCACAGCGGCCCCAGCAACATCTAGCTGATTGGCTCCTCCACGGAGCTGCTCATTGGGCTGTTTCCCTGCCCTTTCAGACCACGGAGCTGCTCATTGGGGGACTTCTCTGGCTCCGCCCACGCGACCCAGCCAATCGGCCTCAAGAGCAGGAGGATTGTGGGAGGTGGTGAGGGTTGTGAATTGCTGGTGAATTGTGCCCAGCCAGACTGCAGCATTCTCCATTTTTTCTTCCCTTTCATTATCTCTTGAACCCATTGTAATAATGCTTTTATCCCAACTTCTCTATGAAGTAGTTCTTGTCAAATGAATCAGTCACTTGTTTAAAAAACAAGCAAACAATGTCACTCTCTCAGAAGAATTTAACTTGGCTGATCATTCTCTTTTTAAACATCTTCTATTCTTGGCTTCTAGGACCCACACATTCTGGTTGTCCTCCATCAGTCCTTCTCTCTTCCCCAGTTCTCCCTCTCTCTCTCTCTGGTCTTGAACTTCTGGAATCAAGTAATCCTCCCACCTCAGCCTTCTAAGTAGCTGGAGCTACAGGCATATTCCACAACACTCGGTTGTTTTCATCTCTTTCTGATTCCTCCTCTTCTTGACTTGTTAAAATGTCCCAAACTTGGTCCTTGGATCTCTTTCCTATTAACATTTGCCAGAACCTTGACTTCAAGATAATTTTATCTTGTCCCATGGCTTTAAATTCACATTYCTAGTTCTGAACTGCAGATATATAGTCGGCATTCCTTTTGGTCTCTCAATATATCCAAGAGTCTCCATCATGTATTTCTGAGTAAATGGGATGACTATTTGTGTAGCTACCCAGCCAAAAATCTTTGTAGTCATCCTTGACTTCTTTTTTCTTCTTACACTCCACAACCAATCCTGGATCAAATTCCATTTTCTATCTTCAATACATACACAGAATTTCTCCAGCTCTAATGCTCCCCACAGGGTTCAGATTGTTATCACCTGCTTTTACCCTATTTCCCATGCTTTCTATTTATTTTAAAACATCAAATCAAATCATATCACAAGCACTCCAAAAGCTCTCCTTCACATTTAGAACAAAACTCAAAGTTCTAATGACATTCAATTGCCTACAGAATCTGGCCCCTAGCTACACCTGTGACCTCATAGTGCTGTCTCCCTCCCACCCCCAGGACACTGGCTCAGTGCTATTGTTGGATCAAACCAAACATGCTCCCACCAAAATAACTTGGTTTTTGCTATTCTTTTTTTTAATCTTTTTTTTATGTGATGCTGAGGATCAAAACCCAGTGCCTCACACATGTGAGGCAGATGCTCTATCACTGAGCTACACAGCCCCAGCCCAGTCCTTGCTACTCTTGCTTCCCTAATTTATACAAACTTACTCTCTACTTTCACTGAAGTTTTGCTTTGCTGTAGTGTCACCTTCTCAGAGAGGCTATCTTTGATCTCCCTGTTTAATAGAGCACTCATCCCCAACTCAATAAATCACAGTCTGTCTAAAAAGTATAGTTCAGATTCATCACACATAAAAAAGATATTAAAAGTTTTGTAGATGGTTTAGGTGAATAAATGGCAGAAAACACTGATGAAGGTGCCCTGGGCAATTTTTCCCTGTGGCCCCAAAGTTCTGAAAAAGGAGATGAAATTTCTGAAACTATTAACTTACCTGGGACATGACTTTACAAAATCCAACAGCCATTTCTTCTTCAGTTTGTTTTTTTGATTAAGAACAAAGTCCTAAAAAGGGAGAGTTAAGAAAAATGATATCCCAGTTCTACTTTACTAGTGTAAGACCCACAAAGATAAAATTATTGCCCCTTGATGGTTCCCATATCCTTTTTAATGATTTAATTCTTGTAATTTTATTAATAATGCATAAATGGTTAATGAACAAGCATCACCAACATGACTGACCTAAATTAAATATCCTGTGGAAAAAGCATTTTCTATACTATCCAATTTACCAATGATTATTAATAAGCTGGCTAAAAATGTCATATTGGACCCAAGTTTACACAATAAATAAATCTAGGGCTGCAGCTGTGGCTCGGTGGTAGACTGCTTGCCTAGCATGTGTGAAGCACTGGGTTTGATTCTCAGCACTGCATTGAAATAAGATAAGTAAATAAAGGTCCATCAACAACTAAAAAAAATTTTAAATAAATCTAATTTTTACAATCAGCCATTTTATCTTTAAAAAAACAAACAATGTCACATTTATTCAACTTTTTGTGTGTATATGTGGGTACCAGGGATTGAACCCAGGGGCACTCAATCACTGAGCCACATCCCCAGCCCTATTTTATATTTCATTTAGAGACAGGGTCTCACTGAATTGCTTAGTGCCTCACTTCTGCTGAAGCTGGCTTTGAACTTTCAATCCTCCTGTCTCAGCCTCCCAAGTCAGTGGGATTACAGGCATGTGCCACCATGTCTGGCCTTCTTCAACTTTTAAAACAATTGCCCAAGTTCCTTGCTGGGATTAGAAACACAGGGCTGACAAAGAAATATGAGATAAAAATTTCTGTGAAACTGTCCCTCATTAATGCTTTTCTGATGGGCAGGACTTATACTGATATGTCAAAAATACATTTTGAAGAGTAATGAAAAGAAGACCCTTGTTTACTTCTTCAATTTCTTTTTTAAATTTTTTATATTTATTTTTTAGGTGTAGATAGACACAATCCTTTATTTTTATGTGGTGCTGAGGATAGAACCTTAAGTGTCCACATTAATCCAACTTTTATAGTCCATGTGAAAAATCATAACACGTGAGTTATGTAATGTTTACCATAGCAAAGAGCAGATCAATAGCCAAGGGCCTGGCAAGTTGGGGAATGCTACACAATCCCCATATCCTTTTTATATGAACAAGAATCATGCTTTCCAAGATCAGAGGAAAAGGCCAATGCTGAATTTAACCCCAAATGACATAAAACCCAACTCAACAAAATCTGTAGTCTATCCCAGGGCCAACAAGGTGGGTTTTGACTTGGCCCCTGGCTGCTCGTCTGACCTCATTTCTTATCCTTCTCCTTTTGCTCAGCCCTCTTCAGGTACACAGGTCTCCTAATTGTTACTCCAATGCTATGGATACTCCTCCTTCACAGATGTTACCTTTGCTTTTCCTTTTTCCTGGAACACTCTTCTCCCAAAAATCAGCAAGGCTTTCTCTTTCTCTTTATTCCTGTGTTCAACTGTTACTTCATCAGAGGAAGTTCCCTGAAAATTCTATCTGAAGAGAACACTATTCCAGTCACTCTTTTTCCTTATCGTGATTTATTTTTCTTCTTAGCATTTATCACCATTGAAAATGTCACATACATTCTGTTTATTGTTTGCCTTTTCACACAAGATTGTAAGATCCAAGAGAAAGAGGATTTGTTTGGTTCACTGAACCATTGTAGGTACTCAGAAATACTGGATAAGTGAATAAATAAATCTTGCTGTGCTTCCTGTAATATACATAGTGATATTATGCATGCTATCCATGCCATTATCTCGTGCAACACTTAAAAGACTGCAAAGGTAGATACTATTATTTCCATTTTACTGATAAGTGAACTTAAGTTAAAACAACCAACTGAAAGTCATGAATCCAACTGAAGTGAGATTCAAAAACTGACCTTTCAAGAATCCACAATGTCCGAATAGAATATGGTCAACAAAAACCTGAGGAACCAATGCCATTTGTTCCTTAGAGAAGCATCTTCAGAGATAACAGATGTTATCTATTACTCCACAGAAAAGCAGCCTGAGGAAAAAATTGCCAAACTATAATTCCAAACCAACAACAAACTGTAACTCAAAATAACCTGCTTGTCCTCTCAGAGCCAACATTTTTTTTCCTTTTTGAAAACGGGAAACTTCTCTTTTGACCTAAAATTTAGGATTCACTACCCCCAGATTCTGGGCTATGCTGTACTAGCCAGCTCTGGGGAGCTTGGAATATTCCACAAAAGCCTCTGCAAGCTGAGAGGAGAAGCAATGTATTCTGCTTGGCATCTGAAAACAGAAGCCTTAAGTAGCATCTACATAAAAGAAATTTCTTTTAAGTTTCTAGATTTCTTTTTTATCCAGAAAACTGAGTATCCCTTGGGCAATATGTTTCTAAGTTTGAAGTGGGTCATCAGTCTTTGAATGAAGGGCAATGGAAAGACTGGGGTTTTACATAGTTCCCAGGCCCAGGTTGACTTTTCACGCCTTTTCTCACTGGGAGTTTGAACTTGGGCAACTTAATCCATCTTTCCAAATCTTTCTTTCCTCAATGTCAAGATTGCATGAGCCAGAATGAATCCAACATAACTTTCCTATGTTCATAGATGTATACATGACCAGTGATACTCCACATCATGTACAACCACAAGAATGAGAATTAGAATAAGAATAATTTATAAATAATAACTTATTCCTAATTAGAATAAATTATACTCCATGTATGTATGTCAAAATACACCCTACTTTCATGTATATCTAAAAATAACAAATGAAAATAAAAAAGATTGCATGAGCCAACATGTGACACAGAGAAGCACCCTTGCTCCTGCTTAGATTTTATACTCCCATTTGGAAATGAAAAGAACCTTTTTTTTTATTAACTGAGAAAATGAAAACCAAATACAGCTCACTTGGTACATCAGAAAAAGAGCCCAGATCAGCCTCTCTTAGCACCAAACATGGAAGTTTTGACAAGGACCCAGTGACCTAAGTGGAAGATGATTGGGCTTTCAGATTGGGCTTTCCTTCCCTAAAAGTAGCCAATTTGTGGAAGGCCTCAACACAATGTGTTTAGGTTGTGTCCTGTGTAAGGAAGCAAACCAGATTATGTATCCACACTTCAATGGTTCACAGTAGAAAACCAGACATAATCATCTCCACGACTCTCAGAATCCAGAGCTCCCATTATTCATTCTTACAATGTGTGAAAAAATCAGTTTATTCATTAAAATCAAGAACTCTTCATCCAAACTGCTCAGTTTTGAGTCCTAGTTCTATCATTTATTAACTGTGGTTTGAGTCAGTTAATAAGTTTTGTCACTTATTAACTGTGTGAACTTAAGCAAGTAATTTTAATCTTTCTGTTCCTCAAAATCACAAACTAGGTCCTGGACAATCAAGCCCACCATCTCACATACACGTACAAATTCTCACCCAATCAKACACATACACAGAGTCTCACAGTCACACCCATAATCACACACAGCCATATTAGCACAAAGATAGGTGGTCACACACAACAGAGAGACAGTTACACAGTCACAGTGGCATACCACTCAAGGTCATAATCTTGTCACAATTACTCATATAAAATTAAAACTTCAGAAACTGATGAGCATGTCACAAAATCACATCTGCTGTCACAAACATTCCAACACAGGTGTATCCAGAGACAGGTGGTCAAACATATTCACAGACACACAATGTCATACCTCGGTCTCCCACAAACCCATTCACAAATACACATAGTTTTTCCCCGAAGAGACAGATGGTCACAGTCATACACAAGCACACACAGGCACGCACACATACCGTGACACACGAGATAACAGCGTCACACCCGCAGCCTGTCACATAGTTGTACACAGTGACATTGACACACAACCTCTCCAGCTGCGCCTGCGGAGTTCCCACCCCCGTCCCCTGCCGCACACACTGAGCCCAGCCCCCTCTCTTGACCTGGGGCAGAGACCWACTCACCTCCGGCGCCGCGGGCTATAGAAACCAGCCCCACCACCCGGACCGACGACGTCACTGCCCAGAATCCTCCGCGAGGTGGAGCCAGAAGAGGACCCAGGCTAGACTGAGCTCTGCGCCATCTGAACTAGCTTTCTGCGAAGGCCTCATGGACCACGAGCTCCAGAATGCTTTGCGCCGCGGCTTTCTTTGACTAAACTACATTTCCCAGACTGCGCTGCGTCCACCACCTCTTTGCGCTTGCGCCTACAGGTGGCCACTGTCAGCCCTGCACGTGCCGGATACTGTGCAAAATCCTAAGCACTTGCTTTTTGAGAAAACGGTGTGGCTCGGCGAACCGGTGACTGTGATTCAACGCTTGGGTGTGCTTGCTGCAACCCTGTGTTTGAGCACCAAGGGGCGAAGGATTCTGTCAGCACACTGAGCTTCTGAATTTTAAATCACACGCCTCGATTGTGAGTTGTTTCGACAAATTTTGGATGTGTGGCGCTGAGGTCAAGAGTTATGTGAGCGAAACTGGCGGTTTATTTATTTACACACACACACACACACACACACACACACACACACACAGGAGGGGGCTGATCGTTTCTGTCACTGTATTCTTGTTCCAGAAGTCGTCTGCAAAAGTCTGCGAAGGTTCTTCATTTCTGGGCTTGCCATTAGGGCCAATGTGTGTATCTTTGTGTGGGGCTAGTTGTCTCCCAATCTAACTTTTCTTCCACCCCATGCTTTGCTGGGGCAGGCTCAGAGTTCCTTTTATATGCCTTCTCTCCTGTACCCCAGTGGGGTAATTATGTTCTACTTGTGTGAAGTTTCTCTTTTGCACCAGACCAAACCATTTGGTAATTTGGTAGCCCGGGTGTACCTCTGATGTTTGCACTTTTTGGGGGGAAGGAGGGATGGTAACCTGGGTTTGAACTCAGGAGCATTTAACCACTGAACCACATCCCCAGCCCTCTTTTGTATTTTATTTAGAAACCGGGTCTGAGTTGCTTAGAACCTAGCCTTTGTAGAGGCTGGCTTTGAACTTGCAATTCTTCTGGGTCCCCAGGATCACAGGTGTGCCCGACCTTGTCCACCTTGCTTGCACCTTTTTTTTTTTTTTTTTTTTTTTGGTGCTGGGATTGAACCCAGGGCCTATGTGCATGCAAGGCAAGCACTCTACCAACTGAGCTATATCCCAAGCCCTCTTACTTGCACTTTTGATTCTACCATTTCATTAGGGCCCAGCTTTAAGAAAATTGCCCAGGCAGGAGAACAAGAATTTGAGTCCCTGAGAGAAAGTTCCAAACAAACTTTATTCCCCCTCCCTAGGTCATGATAGATCTGGAAGGAGCACCCAAGACAAGATTCTAGTAAGTAGGGGTGTGTGGAAGCAAGAGAAAGTTCTTGAGATTCCATCCTTGAGTAATATACAGGGTCAAAGGCAAATGAGTCTGGCTACTACAGTGAAATGATTGCTGTTTACTTCGAAATTAGGCATTTCAACTTTCAGAGAAAAGTAATCTTTTTWAAAAAAATTTTAAGTTGGTGATGGACAGAATACATTTATTTATTTATTTATTTATTTATTTATTTATTTRTGGTTTGAGGATTGAACCAAGTGCCTTCACACATGCTAGGCCAGCACTCTACCACTGAGCTATAATCCCAGCTCTGGCTTGGTTGTTGTATTAGTGTTTCGTTAATGAAACAAAACACTTGACATAGGCTGCTTGTGAAAAAATAATAGTTTTATTTAGCCCAGTTTATGGGGCTAAAAGTCCAAATGGCACAGCACAGGCCCTTGGGATGCATTACCCCATAGCATGGATAGCAGTGGTGCCATCTGTGGCAGGAGAAAGCAAGTAATTCATTTTAGCAGGAGCACAGAGGCTGTCTGGGGCTAAATTTTCTTTCTTTCTTTTTTTTTTTTTCCTGTAGTGCTGGTGATTGAACCCAGGGCCTTGAGCATGCTAGGCAGCACTCTACCAATTAAGCTATATCCCCAGCCTAGTTTGCTCTTTTTTATAAAAATGCTCTTCTTAGCTGGTACAATTGCACATGCCTGTAATCYAAGCAACTTGGGAGACTGGGCAAGAAAAATCACAAGTTCAAGACTAGCCTCAGCAACTTAGTGAGACCCTGTCTCTAAATAAGAAGTTACAAAAGGGCTGTGGATGAAGCTCAGTGGTAGGGGCACCCAAGAAAGACTTCAATCCCCAATGCCCCCCCMAAAAAAATTCCTGAAAATTCAAGAGGTTGCAGGAAATCTGTCTCTAGAGAGTACTCCCCCCAATGACCTAAGGCCCTCTCACAAGACCCACCTCTTAAAGGTTCGACCACCACCCTATACTGCCACCCTGGGGACTACACCTCTAATACATAACCTTTGGGGAGATACAAACCATTATCCAAACTACAGCACTTATATATATTTTATTTTGAAGACCACTGAACTTATTCTGATGGTTGGTTGAATTAGAGTAGTAAAGGGTAGAGGTAATGATAAATGGTGAAATTGGGATACAATTTGAGTATAGAATTTACAGGAGTTGCTTATGCTTGGTTGTGATATGAGGGGAAAAGAATACATGAGTAATGCCTAAAGATTTGTCTTGAGCACCTGGATGAATAGTATCATTTAACAAGATAGGGAACAATGGGTATATAGCAAGTATCTAGGATGGGGGGGTTGATTCTGTTAAATTGGTGACACTTGCTGGATATCAAAGAGGTGATGCTGAATGTGAATTTATTTTTTTTTTTTAAAGAGAGAGTGAAAGAGAGAGGGGGACAGAGAGAGAATTTTAATATTTATTTACTTTTTCTTAGTTCTCGGCGGACACAACATCTTCGTTTGTATGTGGTGCTGAGGATCGAACCCGGGCCGCACGCATGCTAGGCGAGCGCCCTACCGCTTGAGCCACATCCCCAGCCCTGAATGTGAATTTAGATATGTGTGTGTGTGTGAAGCTCATTGGAAAGGTTGGCACTGGAGATACAAATTTGGGAATTTCAATTAAGATGATTTTAGCTGGAAATATACAACGCTCAACTGAAAGTGGCTTATACAATAAAGACATTTATTTCTCCATTTAGCTGACTTAACAGGTGCATAATCATTTCAAGAACCCAGCCTCTTATCTTTTTTCCTGCTCCGTAATCCTCAATGTGATCACAGTGTCTCTCCACACAATTGCAAGTTGGCTGCAGCAGTTCAGGTCCTCACCCAACAATATCACAAATGCTGAGAGAGTGAATAGTTTCCACTTTCAGCATCTCTTATAAGATATGAATTCTGCCAGCCAGGAAGAAAGGTGATTATGTATTATTCAGGAAAGGAATGATTACTGTGTGATCACCCACAGAGTGTGCCACAGTGGGCCACCCTCTTTTAGATGCTTTGAGAGATATGGGAGATCATTCAGGAGAATATGTGAACAGAGAAAAGTGTTGAAAACTGAGCTCTATACATGTTGAAAAGAGAATACGGTAAGGAGACAGATGGAATAGCCAATAAGATATGGAGGATAGGGCTGGGTTGTTGCTCAGTGGTACGGCGCTTGCCTAGCATGTGTGTGGCACTGGGTACCATCCTCAGCACCACATAAAAAAAATAAATGTGGGAGGCCAACCTTATGGGTGATTGAGTTACACTCCCCAGCTGGGTGCTGAGGCGCTGAGTCACAGAAATGGGTGAGTCTTGCTAACAGCCCCATGGGTGAAGCTATGCTCACCTGTTCCTTTGTAATATAACCCCTTGCCCTGTTTAGGAGAGAATCTTCCATGGAAGTGCCTTGTGTGTGTCCCCTCCTCTTACTGTGCCCTTGGGTGTGGCCTACCCAGGTGTCAGTCMACCTGCTGACAGTGGACATCATGAAGATAGACTCAGCCCCCTGAAACCTGACCCCTTGCCTCATTTGAATAGCTTCTCCTCAATAAAAGGGGTCAGCGCTTGCTCTCGATCTCTCTCTTTCTGCCGACCCTTAAGGTCAGAGGAGCCGTCACAGCGACCCCAAAGAAAAAGGTATTTGTGTCTCGTGTGGTTATTTTGTGCAGCCCAGTTAGCCCAGTTTAACTAGAGTGACCCCTGAGCCTTTTAGTCGCAAGAACAGAAACCCGGCAAATAAATTAAATTTAAAAAACATTTCTGTTTAAAAAAGACATTGGGGAGAACTTCTGAGTATACCGTTTTGTATAGTTTTGACTGTAGAAATGTGTTTTGCTTACTAAAAAATAGATACAAGAAATTTATTTATTTATTTATTTTTGGAACCAGGGATTCAACCCTGGGATACTTAACCACTGAGTTGCATCCCCAGCCCTTTTTTTTTTTTTTTTTTKAAATSGTCTCCCTACATTGCTTAAAGCCTTACTAACTTGCCGAGGCTGGCTTTGAACTTTAGATCCTCCTGCCTCAGGCTCCTGAGTCTCTGGGTATATAGGTATGTACCATCACACCTGGCTTAACAAGTGTATTAGTTTTCTGTTGTTATGTAACAATTTTCCACAAATCATTTATTATTTCACAGTTTCTCTGGGTAGTTTTTTTTTTTAATCCCATCCTAACATTAAGACCTCTGAGGCTCTATAAATGCCTCYAGAGCATGTTTTCACTGGGCTACTGTAAGCAAAATGTAACAAGAAGTCACTGTTCAGCTAAAAATGAGCCAGAATTATTTTCAMAAATCTCTCTAATTCCTCATCACCTATCATTACACCATTCCCACTCTGAAATTTCTTCTGTCCCATCCTAGGAAATATTTTTTTCTGGTCCAAATTCAGGTGCAAGGGCTAACTCAGTTAAGCAGAAGTTACAAGAAGGGAGAGGTTCCTCCTTCTACCTCACTCAGCATCTCAAGGACCTCCTCACCCGYCATAGGCCTGATTTGCTCCAAGGTCACCTGCTCACAGGATATTCCACAACTCCACTAGTAACTTTCACCAGCTGTCCTGGATTCCACATCAAACAAAGGCTATGGCAGGATGAGTAGAACTTGGGTGGTAACAGAAAGGAGAACTGTACTGTACTGGCGGTTACAGTGT